TTATATTATAGGGTTTTAATTGATCTCTTGGTGTCTAATAGCCGTTAACAGTGGTGACGACCAGATACTGGAAGTGCTGATAATAGTGCCGTTGACTGCCTCCAGGTGCGGTACGGCCAGATGGATGAGCTCGAGTCCGGCCCGAGTGTTCAGATTCAACAACTGATCGAAAACTTGAATAAAATTCTTGTCCTTAATATTAGTGGACAGGGAGGCGCCGGCGTTATTCACCAACACATCTAATCTGCCGAACGTCTTAATAGTCTGACTGATCAGGTTCTCCAAGTCCTGTGTCTTAAGCACGTCCGCCACCACTGTTAACGGCTATTAGACACCAAGAGATCAATTGAAAGCCTATAATATAAACACAAATCAAATGGACTAATACCACATGCCTTAAGACCTTTTGGTGACAATTTCTGAACTTCTGTGGCCACGCGTTGTATCTCCGACTCATTCCTACCGGTGATGACAACACTGGCACCTAATGCCGAGAACAGGTCCACAATCTTCTCGCCGATGCCTGAGTTGGATCCGGTGACTAACACTACTTTCCCCGTGAAGTTCCTCGAGTTCCTCACCTCCGAGTAGTCATCGTCGCCGATGTCGTAGTAAATGTCGGCCCTCACCGCCCATACGATCGTTAAGAGCGCCAGTAGTTTGTAACTCATGTCCAGGAGTTTTGCTTTTTATGTGAATTTTTATTTTTGTTTTACGAGTTGTTATACTTTTCTGATTGCATTTTCTCATTCAATTCCGATATTTATATGTGTTTTTTGTAACAGTATTTTGTGAACACATGCCCTGCCACTGTGGACAGTTATCTACAGATAATTTTGGCACAAAATCTTTCATATAACTTTGTAATCTATATATTAGTTATAATTACTATAGTAATTCGTCCATACTATGCTAAATGTACTTTTCTGTGTAACAATTAGTGCTAAATTATTATGATAATATAGCTTTATCAACTATTTATTTGCAATGTATGTGGGTTAGTTCACTGAGAAATAAAACAGTTGGCAAAAATTGTGTACTTCACAAACATTTAAATTATAAAGAAAATTTATATACTAATAATAAGTACATTATTTAGATCAGTATTTCGTGATTATATATTTCAAATTGATAATAAATATCGTTATATAGTTTTTTTGTCTTTGTATCTCTAGTATGACCCAGGGATGTCATCAGACTGACCAACTGCTCACTATTTCAGTGAACAGTTCACTATTTTGGGTATTTGTCCACTGTGTTTTAAAATGGAAATAGTGTACAATGAATGTTCACTATTTTTAAAATAAATAAAAATACATATCTGTTGAGCTAACTTTTACAGAAACTGTAAAACTTCTCATATAATATTAAAAATCAATGTTTTAAAAGTATCCACAAACAAATTATACAGTATTAGTGTTCAGTACATAGTATAATGTGCTTTTAAAAATAGTGAACATTAAATCTAGTATTCATTAATTATATATTTATTACAATTTTTAATATATACTGTATTACCTTTCTAAATTTACTTTTTATTGTACATATAATGTAATTTTTGTGGCAAGTTTAGAACAGTTAAAATTTTGTTTACTTATGTAAAATAGTTAAGATTGAATTTTAACTATTTAAAATTAAAATAATGTAATATAAAATTTACAATCAAGAGACCAATTCTTAAAAAAATTGTAATTCAAATATATAATAAAAATTGATGTCCACTATTTGTACACTATTTTATCAACTATTTTTGATATTTGTACACTATTTGAAAAATCAAAGTTGGTCAGTCTGGATGTCATGTCAAAGGCATTCATATTGAAATAATAATGTTACTGTGAATTGTATTAAAAAACAATAAATAAAATCTCATTAAAACCAGAATTATATACTTAAATAAATGACAGAAACATAGGATTTGTGTCATCTCTTCATATAACATCGAAATTACAATTTCATTAATAAAATAAAAAATATGTGAATAATTCATAACTGAATTGACGCGAGAGCACCGGTAGTAGCGATCCTTCTCTAATCCGTTGGATAATTAAGAAAAGTTTGTAAATATTGATCACAAACTGTGTTAGACTTGGGAGGCATGAGGGCTGATATTCTGAATTTAATCTACCCTTTAATTAAATAAATATTTTATTTTTATTGTATTATAAAGTATTCAACTGACTATTGAGACACCTGGGGTATGGTAGGAAACGGTAGGCATAGAGTGAAAGTGTGTCAGAATTTATTATTTAGTCGGTTCTGTCAATTTGTATCATCAGTATTGACGCCATTAACACATCTGTCATACTGTGCGACACAATACAGAATATTCTCGACTCTATTGTACTGTTATTTCAAATACATTTCCACTTCAATACTCGTCTGTCTGTCCATTCAATCGATCGGATGACACACTCCATGTGCACTGTAATTGTGTTTTTATCACTCAATTATCGGACTCTCATTCCAAGTGTCAGTCCCTTTGCTATTCATATAATTCCTGTGCCTTTCTATATCTCTAGTGGTATTTATTAATAATATATTAATAGTCCACCCATTTGTATATCATACTGTACATAAGAATTTTATTATAGGATATTATATATTGTATATGGTGTTTATTATGGAATATTTTTAAATCTAATAATTCATTCAACTACTTACGACTAAAATATTATATTTTAATTACAGTAATTGCTTAATATATTATATTAGTATAAAGAGCAAAAATGTTTTATATTTTTGTAAACTATATCTAGCTTAGGCTGTGGAATATTATAAAGATATACTTATTCCAGAGATGATAGACTGTATTATCGATAGCTATATCATAGTATTATATCACCAATATATAGACAAGTACAAACTTTTTGGGACATAACTATTGCCAATAAACAAGTCATTTCACTCCATAACTAACCCGAATAACCAATATATGAGACAATTATAGAATGAAAACAAATGGATTTGTCATAAAGTTATGGCACATAAACGATAGGGTCGTCTAAAATATGAAGTCATTTATTTTCATTAACTTTTTTGCGTGTATTTTGTAACGTTAATAATAAAATAGTTACAAGTACAGAATTTATTGTGTGTGAAAATACTGACCATTTATTATTGATAGAAATATTTCTAATTAATATGTTGTCCGCATAGTTAGTATAGTTTGAAATCAATTCAATATATTTATTAATAACATGACAATTGATATATGTCACGAGTATACAATTAATTCATTTAGTTTATAGTTAGAAATGGATTTTAAAAATTAAATATGAAGTATTAGGCTACAATAATTCAATTTTTGTTTTTATCTCATAATTATAATGACGTTAGTAGACTAATAGCATTTATACTGTAGCAACTTAATGGTAACTAAATATACGAATACAATACGAATATTATATAAATTATCATTATATTGTATAATAGTGAGCATTATTTTTATATTATATTTATTTGATCTATCAATTTGTATTCAATGAGTGTTCATGAAACATAAAACTCTCTCTCTCTCTCTCTCTCTCTCTCTCTCTCTCTCTCTAACTATATTATAAGTTCTATTCAATTCACATTCAAACAATTAAATCACTTCAATAACGGTATAAAACAAGATATAATATATGAAGTGCAAGAAAATAAGATCATATTCTTAACAAATTTATTTTACTTACAAAAGAGAAAAGAGAAATAACTTTGAAATGTATTATTGTTTGTTTTGTAGTAAAAAACTTTGTCACAAAAATAAATTGCACGAAGCGTATATAATTTTTATGTACAAAAATATAAAGTTAAAATGAATTCATTTTTTTTGTTGACGATAAATGTGTTGGAAATTTAATTTCTCGACACTAATCTCAAGTTAACGTCAAAATATTCTAACATAATATGGCATCTAATGTCTTACTTAGTCTTAAGTGCTACAAAAACTCACATATTACAGCCTACCGCTGAAAATGTATAAAGAATTTATTAATATACTAAAATATTCTAGGAATATTTAATTTCATTTGAAATTCTTTAGACATTCAAATATTTTTGTGCAAAATATAAAATATCTATAGAGTATACGGTATTTCCTTGTGGGATGACTATAATCAATGGTATTTTATATATTATTAAATTTTGTTTTCGCAAATAATATTTCAAATATACTGGAATAATATATTACATTCTTTTGAATCTTACTTAATTTATCAGTATGCATTGTGAAATATCTGGGTAAATTAAATTCATTTAATAGATGTCTATGTACAGTGTTACGACATATTATATTTATAAGTTTATTTTAATTTACCAATTTTTAAAAATGTTGAAGTAGTACATTAATACTTAAATTTAATCCGTATTTTTAGTTTTTACAGAGACCTATTTTTAAATGAGTTTTTATTTTACCATTAACAATAATCCTACTAGTTTTGTTATAAACGTTGTAGCATGATAATCTAGTAGTGCTCAAGTTATAAGATTTCCATTATTTATTAACCATGTGTAAGTATTGATAAAATAAATAATTTGATTTCGCAATATAATAAATTAGTTATTGTTTAAAACTAAGTTAGTTTCTAATAGTTTGATACACTTAAAAGTTCAAGTAAGTTTATTTACAGTAATCATTTTGTAAACTAAATATAATTTATATATAATATTAATTTATAGTTAAGATATAAGTTATATCATATAACATTTATGAATACTAATATTAATATACTAGTAATATATTTTATTGTTTACTATATCACTGAACAATTTTCAATTTCATTGGGAAGAAATGTTCCCCTAAACTTAAATATTGCCGGAAAGAAGATTGATTATGAGTATAGATAACAAGTTTAGAAAGTTTATATGCTACTTAAGTAC